ACTTCTACCCCAAACATCATTTCAAACACATTTTTTAATACAGCAACTCAAATAAAAATCCATCATATCTTCCCAAACACAAAAACTAAAATAGCCTACTAAGGCCTTGTTTGGGAACAGGCTAATTTAGTAACTTTTTGACTATTTGGCTAAAAAGGTAGGTAAAAAAACTTGTATGTTTGGGATGACTTTTTGACTAATTACGAAAAGATGTGCAAAAAGTAGAGAGAAAAGAGAATCTTTGACTTTTTGGTATGAGTTTTTGGTTTTTTGACTAATTTAGTAACTTTTTGGTTAATTAGCTAAAAAAGTAAGTCCCCAAACGGGGCCTTTTCGTAATTAGTCAAAAAGTCATCCCAAACATACAAGTTTTTTTTACCTACCTTTTTAGCCAAATAGCCAAAAAGTTACTAAATTAGTCTGTTCCCAAACGTGGCCTTAGCCAAAAAGCCTCTAAAATAGCCATTTCCCAAACACCCACAATATATGCATCTACATATATACGTATAGTAAGAGAAATACATCATAAATGCAGAACAATCAGAGAAAATTCAATCCAAGAATTTCACTCCAGAGAAATTCTGGGAAAGACAGAGAAATTATTTGGAAATCCAGAGAAAATTTTGATTTACTCACAATTTTCTTTGTTTTTTGACCAAAGAGCATATAACACACCTTAGGAAACAAGCTTCATCATCCTCTTCACAGTCTCCTTATCTACATCAACAATGGTAAGATCTCTATTATCATCATCATCTCTATGTATATGTATAAATCTTTATTCTTCGTTTTTGTTCAGATCATTCCAGAGAAGAATCGTAGAGAGATCTCCTAATACCTTGAAGAGAGTGGTTAGTCCTATTCCAGCCGGTGGTTGTTTCAGTAGCGGTCCACCTGGTGATCGTTCGACATCCCAGACGAGAGTTCGATCATGAAGATCGGTGAAGAGAAGGAGAGTCTGATCATGAAGGTCGGTCACGACGGTAGAGGCGAATATGGCGGCCATTGAAGGGAGTGAAGTGACTTTTGGATTTAGAGAGAGAGAGAGATGAAATAGAGAAGGTAAAGACAGAGAGAAATGAGGTTTGATTTCAAATAGTCAAATTTCTTTGTCATATATGGGTGTGGGGTTGAGGGACCTTAAACATCATAAAATAATATTATGGATCTCTTACATTACTAAAAATGAGAGAAGGACCTTAGACTAATTTTTCTTAAAATTTATCACATTTTTCATGCCTTTCACCATAACTAAACTCAATTTAAATATTGACTATAAAAAAATAAAAAACACAAAAGTTTGTCTAGGTGTTCTAAGTGCATCTCCAATGGTTTGCCATTGGAGTTGCCATTGCTATAATATAGCAGTTCTGTTGAAAAATGATACTCCAGTGGTTGAATGTAATACAAAACCAAAACTCCAACCCATTTCTTAACCAAAATAGTACTAAAATTCGTGAATTCATCCACATTAAACCAATGTCCATTGACAAACGCTCCAATTCCAAAAGTTTTAACACCGAGAAAAGAGAAGAAAGACATCATAAAGAGTTTCACAAGGATAATACATCCATCTACATATATACATATAGTGAGAGAAATACATCATAAAATGCAGAACAATTAGAGAAAATTCGATCCAAGAATTTCCCTCCAGAGAAATTCTGGGAAGGGTCAGAGAAATTATCTGGAAATCTAGAGAAAATTCACACAATTTCCATATCCAAAGAAAATTCTGATTTACTCACAATTTTCTTTGTATTTTGACCAAAGAGCATAAAACACAACTTAGCAAACAAGCTTCATCATCCTCATCACAGTCTCCTTCTCCACATCAACAATGGTAAGATCTCTATCATCATTATCATTTCTATTTATATGTATAAATCTTTATTCTTCGTTTTTGTTCAAATCATTCTAGAGAAGAATCGTAGAGAGATCTCCTAATACCTTGAAGAGAGTGGCTAGTCCTGTTTCAGTCGGTGGTTGTTTCGGTAGCGGTCCACCTGGTGATCCGTTCGACATCCCAAACAAGAGTCCAATCATGAAGGTCGGTGAAGAGAAGGAGAGTCCGATCATGAAGGTCGGTGAAGTTCATGAAGGTCAGTCACGACGGTAGAGGCAAAGGTAGCGGCCAATGAAGGGAGTGAAGTGAGGTTTGGATTTAGAGAGAGAGAGAGAGAGAGAGAGAGAGAGAGAGAGAGAGAGATGAGAGAGAGAAGGTAAAGAGAGAGAGAGAAATGAGGTTTGATTTCAGATAGTCAAATTTCTCTGTCATATATGGATGTGGGGTTGAGGACCTTAAACATCATAAACTAATATTATGGATCTCTTACATTACTAAAAATGAGAGAAGGACCTTAGACTAATTTTTCCTAAAATTTATCACATTTTTCATGCCTTTCACCATAACTAAACTCAATTTAAATATTGACTGTAAAAAAATAAAAGTTTGTCTAGGTGTTCTAAGAGCATCTCCAATGGTTTGCCATTGGAGCTGCCATTGCTATAATATTGCAGTTCTGTTGAAAAATGATACTCCAATGGTTGAATATGGTAGCTGCCAAAATTGAGAAATGCCAAGCTTGTGTCAAATTTGACACAAGCTTTGGCAGCTACCATTTGTGCCAACTCAGCCAAAACCAACTGTTTCCCTCACTCTCTCCTAGCAACTGTTTCACCATTTTTTCTTTTATATTAGAAATCACCAAATTATTTTTCTATATATATATTTTTTTAATTTACCCAAAATTAGCAATTTTTATTTTATTATTTTTTTTATAGAATCAAAAAAATCAACAACAATCAATAAATCACTCTTAAACAAATCAATAAATCTTAACAAAATCAACAATAATCAATAAATCGATCTATAGTTGTGAATCTTCAAAACCACTCTCGAATAAGCAAAATGAAGAAAATGCACCTGATGATCAGAATGAGGAATGAGGAATATAGATGGACTGATGGATTGTTGTTGTGAATCGATCTGTAATTGATGATTAGAATGAGGAATATACAGAGAGAAGAGAGAGAGTGATGGACTGATGGTATATCTCTTTCTCTCTCTCTCTCTCCCTACCACCATAACCATGGACTCTGACACCGACTCCTTTCTCATCTCCAATCGGTCCCTTTCTCATCCCTAATCGCCTTTTTGAAACCCCAAACACTGACTCCTAATTCAAAGACAAAAAGATGTAAGATAGGGTTTGATGGTAGTGTCTTGGAATGAGATATGGTTTGATGATCAGAATGAGGAATATAGAGAGAGGAGAGAGAGAGAGTGATGGACTAGTGGTAGTGTCTTGGAATGAGAGATATATTGATAAGATTTCATCTCAGCCGTTGGATTATAGATATATTGATACGATTCCATCTCAGTCGTTGGATGTATATAATCCAACGATGATGGTACTGTTTGGGAATGTGTAACAATGAGCCAACGACTTTATTTTAATTTAGAAGTAAAAAAACGGTTATTTTTATTTTGTAATGAAATTTCATTTTTTTTTAATTTTTCAGTATTTTCTACAACATAATGTAATATTATTTTTGTAATGTATAATTTATTAAATATGTAGTGATATATTTTTTTGTGGAGTGAATTATAATTATTTTTTTTCCAATTTTTTGATTTTTTTGATTTGTCTAGTTGGGAATAATATAAATATATAATTTTTTTTTTTACAAACAGTTTAAAAAAGGTTACAAAAGACAAAAAATAAACAAAAATAAAATCACAAAAAACTTATATCCAAACAACACTTACAAACTTGGACGAAAAATTGGTTAAGATTTGCTAAAATAACAAATGATCATTGGAGCACCATTGTTATAATTTAGCAAAATAGCACTATTCATTGCCAAATTATAACAATAGCAATGGCATTATAGCAACAACAGTTGGATATGGTCTAAGTATTCGTTTGGCATAAGGTTACGGGGTTAAAATAGTCACACAAAAAAAAAATTCTAAAAGATCAATAAAATAAAATATTACATTTAAATCATAATTATTTCATTTTTTTTTCACAAAACTTACAAGAGTCAAAAAATTCATTTCAAACAAGATTTTTTTAATTCTAAACTAAAATAACTAAAAAATTAAAAAATCAATCCACTACTCAAATGAATCCTAAAAAATTGTAAACAATTATTTCAAAATTGACTCATTTATAAACTGAAACAAAAATTTAAAAAACGAGTTTAATATGTTATCCTTCTTATTATTTATCCGTTTCAAAATAATACTCTACTTTTAAAAAAGTTATTTTTTTAGTATAATTATTATATTTTAAAAATATTAATTTTTTTAAATTACTCTTTAATATTACATTTTTTAAAAAAATATCAATTGTTATAATTATATTTTTTGTGTGTTATTAATGAGTTTAAAAAAAAGTAAAATAATAAATTCATATTATTATATTTCTTAATTTTTGAAAAAAATAATATTTTAAAATAATAAAAAATAAAATAAAATTTGAAACAAAATTTTTATTATTATTAATAATAAAATCATTTACTAGCAACAAATTTTAAAATTATAAATTGCATAAAGGTAAGAGTCCCATTGACGTGTATCAACGCTTACCGACCCACGTCCAATCGAACAATAATGTTGGTAGGGGAACGGATCGTCGGTCGCCCTTCCCTGTCGCCTTTTCCTGTCGCCCCAAAACGACGTCGTTTTAGGGGCGAATTTTCAAAAAAAAAAAAAGCAGAAGAGGGAGGAAGGAGAGGAAGAGGGAGGGAGGAGGAGGAGGAGGA